GGTGACAAGAGACCCACTCGGCTCTGGCTAGTTAACTCGTGGTGTTCGGGAGATCTCCGACATGCTAGATAAATTAGAGAGTATTTCGGGTATTCTTTATATCTATTATAGTAGTTAATAATGGATGATAAACTATATATATATAATGCATATCATGATTATGATATACATACATACTATATTATCTAATAAACCCCAAATTATCAAAAAGTCTGGTTTAGTATACAATATAACCCTCAGATAATAACAAGAACTATTATACAATTCCTAAGTTTATTATTTCTATAATTTTCAATAAAGGACAAATAATGTAGACTACTGTGTCTGTAGTCTGACCTGTAATAAACCTGAACTATGATACAAGACACAATTATATTTCTCACTATTAATGTACAGCAAAACTTTCAATGACAACCAACAGTGAATTAAGAGGCAGGCAATGACGCACTGCTGACGTCATTACAACACTACCTATGACGTCATCGTCAGGGCTGTGGTTGGTGGTAGTGGTGGGCAGGGTATATCTGTGACGTCACAAGATGGGGGATCGACGTGATTTGACAAGCGACGTCTTATAAACTCCGCCCAGCAACTGTGACGTCACATACATAAACACACCCGAGAAGGGACCTCACATATAACAAAGAACATTGGACAAAAACACTATATATATTATCATTATGTCTACTGTGTATTGTGCCGGAGAGCGGGAAAAATAACAAATTTGATTGTTTTTATTATATATAACTATTTTACTCTTAGCTTACAGTATGATCTGTCTACTAGAAGCGTTACAGGTTGTTGGTAGAGACGGACACAAGCTGATACAGACGAGTTCTACATCTGCCAGTTAGAACAAACAAACATAATACTGGTGAGATGTTTCAGCTGACTGACGCTAGGGGCGGGAACTAGAGTGAAAACCCACGTGTATGAGGGTATGTCGACCTATGATTGGTTCTGGTCTACCATGACGTCAGCTTTTGTTATTATCAAGTTTTAAGGTAATTATCAGTTAAGTTTGGTCATTAAAGTTAAATTGGTCTAAGTTTAATTAATTCTGGTTACAGTTTTGTTTAAGTTAGGTCAATTATTTAGGTCAGACTAAGTTTTAAGTATATTTTAGGTAAGGCTAAGTTAGGTTAGGTTAGCTTAGCCTGTAAAGTTAGGTTAGGTTAGCTTAGCCTGTAAAGTTAGGTTAGGTTAGCTTAGCCTGTAAAGTTAGGCTGAGAGACACTGGCTAACGTGAACAAGGACCAATCACCTCACGCCATTCCCTCATACGCGTGGCTTCTGCTAAGTTGAGAGTACCAGAGAGGGGCAGGCTTGTTGTGTCGGGCGAGGAAGGATGCCGGGGTGAGCCGCGGTGATTTGAGGTGGGCAGTGGGCTGAGGTGGGTGGTGGGCTGAGGTGGGCAGTGAGCTGAGGTGGGTGGTGGGCTGAGGTGGGCGTAGGAAGAAAGGCATGAATGATATAGATGGTGGTGATGAGGTGGTGGTGATAGTGTATGTGGTGGTATATGTGATGATAATACTGTTTGTTGTGGTGATGATGATGATAAATAAATATAGTGAGTCCATTAACAAGTTTATATAGAGAACAAAATATAAACAATATATCAGATACAAACTTATACAGACAAATATGCAAATTAATTACTGAGATAATATTGTAGAGTTTCGTGTTAGATAAATTAGATGGTTTTAGAAATTAATTAGAGAATAACTTTACTTTGTAGGGAACTTAAATGAGGTGATTGATGGTCGGACAGATTGAAAACTGAGTTACATTTTTATTAAAGGGAAGAAGAGTTAAATAAGGAGTTAAGAAGTGAGAAAAAGATGATTAGAATACCTTTATAGTTCACGATACCTTAGAAGATGTATTAGAGACAATATGGGGATAAATGGAGCTTCTCGTTAAGATTTCGTTAAGGAAAGATAGTTAACCCCACACACAGACCCCCACCTCTCTCCTCCACCTGTTATATAGAAGTGACTTTGTGTTCATGTCATCGCCCACCTCACCACCACACGCCCACCTCACCACCACACGCCCACCTCACCACCACACGTCCACCTCACCACCACACGTCGAGCCATAACACATTGTTCCGGTCCCCTACAACGATGTGTTTCATGATCTTGTTTACAATAATTAACAAATCAGAACATTAGTGAGTTATTGATATGTAAATAAATGTATATAATGGCGTAAAATATAATTAATATAAGGCTATAGGACGAAATATATAGGTTATAGGTAATCACCATTATTAAGAAGAGATAGATGAAATATATAAATTATGGATATAAAAACAGCTATAGATGATGATATATAGCGATAGTGTCTCGGGCAGTAAAATAAACGTGACTGTTTTACTCTTAAGAACAAATTTCAAGGTAGAATTATAATATATGAAATGTGATGAGAAAATGAATAATATTATACAGTAGTTGATGATATTAATAATGTGTTTATAACTGGTGGGACGTCTACGAGGCTAGGTTAGGTTAGGTTAGGTTAGGTTAGGTTTTTGCTATTTAATTAGATTTGTGTGTCTGTATATATGTCTGTGTCTTACATGTTTATAAAAAACAAATATGAGTTCTGTAATAAAAGGAAATAAATGAGAGACCCGGGGGTGAAGAAGAGAGAGAACAGGAGATAAGAGAGAAGAGCTGCCTGGAGGAGGAGAGCAGCCTGAAGGAGGAGAGCAGCCTGGAGGAGGAGAGCAGCCTGGAGGAGGAGAGCTGCCTGAAGGAGGAGAGCAGCCTGGAGGAGGTGGAAGAGGGAGGCGCTACGTGGGGGAGAAGCACAGGGTTTATAAAGATATATTTCGGGGAAGACGGTTCTGCCTGGGGGAAATATTCGCTGGCATTGAAGGAGAGTAGGTAGGAGGGGGGGAAGGGGGAAGGCAGGTGAGGAAGAGTTGACAAAGGAGGGTGAGGGAAGGAGAGAGAGAGGATGAGGGAGGAAGAGAGAGGGGAGGGAAGGAGGAGGGTGTGGGAGGGGTGGGTGAGGAAGGGTTGACAAAGGAGGGAGATAGGGAGGGTAAGAGGGTTAGGGGAGGAGAGAGAAGATGGGATGAGGGGGAGACAGAGGGGAGGATGAGGGAAGGTGGGAGAAAGAGGTGAGGAAGGGTCGACAAAGGAGGGAGATAGGGAGGGTAAGAGGGTTAGGGGAGGAGAGAGAAGATGAGATGAGGGGAGGATGAGGGAAGGTGGGAGAAAGAGGTGAGGAAGGGTCGACAAAGGAGGGTGATAGGGAGGGTAAGAGGGTGGTGGGTGACAAAGGAGTGAGTGTGTGAGGGAAGCAGAGTGGGGATGGGATAAGGGAGCGACAGAGAGAGAGAGAGAGAGAGGAGGATGAGGAATAAGGAGAAGAATAAGATCAACAACACTAACCCTCAAATATTAATCTTTCCTAAACTACAAGAGGCAGGAGGAGTTATCACTATTATATATATTCTATGGTATATTACCGTAAAGAAATAAATTAGATTCACTATTATATTATCACTTTAAACCTTAATTAACCTCACAAGAAAAAGGAAGATAAGAAAACGTCTATTAACAAATGTCTTTTACACAACAAGAGTGAGTTAGTGATACTCTTACTAAGGTCCTATAGAGAAAGCTTATTGGCTGTGACTTTTGAGAGGAATCTACCATTATTTTCTGCACTGTTTGCTTTTTTCTTCTCTAAGGTCAATGTTTAGTTCTACCCAGCTTAATGTACCAGTCAACCAGCCAGCTTCATCCTAACCTCTTACATACACACACACACACACACACAGACACACACACACACACACACACACACACACACACACACACACACACACACACACACACACACACACACACACACACACACACACACACACAAAATGGCCTCGGCGCTCTATCAAAATTTGCTCTATTCTTATCTTTGTATTTTTATTATTATTTATTTTTATTCCTTCCCTAGAAAAAGCGAACGTTGAATCATAACTATCATTTATACTTGGAGATAATTGGCTTAGCTGAAGATATTCCTATCTGCATCCAAAGCTATCCTTCAAAGGGTGTAAAAATATACGTGAAATTTATTGTGTATCTGAATTAAACGTTAAATTTATCTGTTTTTAACTTTGATTAACTTAAGAGTGAGTTAATTAAACGTGTATAATATCTGAATAAAGTCAAGATAGAGATGCATAATCCTTTGACAGATTCTCTTCTTTTGGATGATGGCAGGAGAGGTAAAGACATCATTAAAATATTGAAGGTCCTTGGCCCAGTAAATATGGTCAACACTCAGCCACATCAATTTGGCCTCCAAGTGTAAACACAACTGGTATCATGCTCTCTGAGTGGCCTGTATGTCAAGCTCTCTGAGTGGCCAGTATGTCAAGCTCTCTGAGTGGCCTGTATGTCAAGCTCTCTGAGTGGCCTGTATGTCAAGCTCTCTGAGTGGCCTGTATGTCAAGCTCTCTGAGTGGCCAATATGCTAAGCCCTCTGAGTGACCAGTAAACAAAGGCTGGATTACAAGGGTCGAGACTTAAGCCCCACCTTGACCTGCCATGCACAGCAGTCATGAGAGTGCCATGATGAGCACTGAAGGTTCACCACACTTAGAGGATCAAGGCCATAAAGGTTTAATAATAAGACTAGGATGACTAGAGTAAGAGTGAGGGAGATTTTGAGGCCAAGTAACAAGCGATTTTGGAGTGAGAGAAAACCTTGTAGGAAGAGAGACCGACCACCATAGGAGTTACCATCTTATTCGGCAGTGCAATATTCTTCATAATAATCTGAACAGTGATGCAGTCGGTCATATGTTTGTCTTCCTTCTTATCGTTTCCACCTCGTCCATGGCTAAAGTTTTGAGAATCGCACTTCCATTACTTTTCATTATCAGTATTTTAATAATAATTTATTTTTCCAACGATGGCATCAATTTCCGGTTTTTTTCTTTTAATTATCTATCTATCTTTTTTTTTCACAATATTTCGTTTTTATAATTATTATTGATTTATTTCGTACACACCTTTTGTTTTCACTCACTAATTTACATATTTCAGTCTTGTGAGTTTTCCAGTTTGTTCATTTACAATATCTTGACTAAAATCTATATAAATTACGTAAATAGTTTCCAACACCTTTACAATAACGTGTTTTGGGTGACGTCCGTGGTACAGCATCCTCTTATTTCAGTCTCCCTTCTCGAGTGACTGGGGGACAATGTTTCAAGGAACCATTTTAAATTTGATATACTCAAGGGCGTCTCTCCATCCTGTCGAAGAATTTTCACTGATGAGGTCCGGTGTCTGTCATTATTAAGTTCTGTTTCTTACTACAATTTCAGGTCACTATCATCATCATCATCATCATCTCTATCGTCTTCAACATCGCCATCATCATTGTCAATATCATCATCATCACCATCATCATTATCATCATTGTCAATATCATCATCCTTAATATATGTCCTTTCACTTTATTTTCTAATCATGATAATGATTTTTATCTTTGTAAACATTGCTTTCATCACTATTAAGGTCAGTCATATTCATCTGATGATATAGTGTGACCAGTCATCACTATCATCACTATAACCATTATCATCATCAAAATCTTCATCATCATTATTATAATTCTCCTCATTGTAGTCATCACTATCATCACCATTGTCATATCCATCATAATCACCATCGCCGTCACCCCCAGTTTTATTCTCGTCATTATTATTGCTGCTTTATCCTAACACAATCTGAACTTCTTATGTCTGGGCAATAAATCGGTCACTATTATCATCATCATCATCATCATCATCATCATCATCATCATCATCATCATCATCACTCCATAAGTCACATCACAACACAGTATCAATAATGTACAAGTTACACACATATATGTATATACTTTTTACACAACTCTATAATTAAAGAGTTTTGACAAGAGCTGACCTATGAACAAACAGACAGACAGACAGACAGATATGAACCCCTCCCCCATTTATCACCATTTACAATAATACTGATGAAAGATGTTATTATTATGCAAGTTTGAATAGATGAAAAAAGATGATTTATTTTCATTTATTAAGGTGTGTAAATAATGCTATGAGTTGAGCTGAGAATGTACACAGGAGTATGAACAGGACGACCAGTGTTGGAAAAGTACCACGAATGTAGGTCAATTAGGACCACCAATGTTGGGGAAGTACCACGAACGTAGGCCAATTAGGACGACCAATGTTTGGGAAAGTACCACGAACGTAGGTCAATTAGGACGACCAGTGTTGGGAAAGTACCACGAACGTTGGCCAATTAGGACGACCAGTGTTGGGAAAGTACCACGAACGTTGGCCAATTAGATTTTGTCAGAATTTATTTATTTTTATTTTTTTTACCTTGGAGGAAAGCAACATGAACCTAGTCTAAACAAACCTAACATAACCTAGAGTATTATTGTTAGGTTAGCTTAGCTTAAGTCAGGTTAGGTTAGGTTAGCTTAGCTTAAGTCAGGTTAGGTTAGGTTAATCTTTAAAAAAAAAATTGGTTTGTGGTACATCTTCCAACACTGGCCAGCTCGTGAGACAATTACACTTAACAGATATTACAATACTGAAAGTCTCATTATCCTTTATTAACAGCAGAGAGACTACAACTATCTCAGAGTTGACACGAATCACATTTGTCATTATTAATGTTGTTGTACTTGAAGCAAAACAAAGAGACAAGTTATGTTGACATGTCTTATTGATGTTAGATATTCCATATATAGTGAGGTAGGTTTATGGCGATAGTTCACCAATAACATGTTACACTTTACCCCCTGAAGATATAAACAAAAAACAATTACCGAAATACAAGGAAAAAACAACAAAATATCTTAAAATAGCTTTTCACTTTATATTACCATTTTTTTTACTTTTTTTTTCGTTTTTATTTCTGTAACTCAGAGGGCCAAACCTCACGTGTAGTTTTGTTTATAATTAGGACTTTTGTGATAGAGCTTATTGCCATCATTAAAGCGCTTAAGAGCTTGCGTCAACTTCAGGTATACTGCTAATTAACAAGCAATTAGGGCATAGTTATTATTCTCTTAATTTCTAACCTAGTTTGGTATTTTTCACACTTTTGATTGAAATATCACATGCAGTGGTTATAAACACCAAGAACTCAATTTGTTTTTCATTTCACCATGAATTTTCGTAAACTTCCGCTTTTAATAATGTTTATATATGTATATAATGTTTATATTTTACAAAGCTAAAATTAAAGCACTGAATTGTACTCAACTTACTTATCTTTATTCTTACTGTTCGTCTCTTTGATTTTTATTTCTATTTCATAATACTTAAAGACATTAGTAAATCACAAACCACCTAAACTATGGAAAATTTGTCTTTTTTTATTTAAGTCCAAGTTTCAGATCACAATATACAGTCGAGGACAAAAGTTCTCTTCCTGTGGTGGAACTAAGTCACAGGAATGAGTCTCCGAGCTGAATTACTGGCCCTGACTGCCATCTGATGCGGGTGTTTTGTTTGATCTCATTTGGGGTCGATACAGCTTAAGTTTGGGAGGAAACGAACTTTTGACCTCGACTGTATAGTACCTGATGCATGCATGGGGGACATAGTCATAAAAATCTCGCTCTTGATAGATGAATTACGTATCTCTTTGTTCTTTACTATTACATCCTTCTGTGAGGTCTTTAACGGTGACTCAGTAAAGAAATCCGTATTCACAGATTTTCAAATGTTGTCGTTCTCGTAAGGAGTTGGTCGAGTCCCGCCTTAGTCTCACATTACTTGTTGGATCCTCAGAGGCGTTATGCTCTTGGCAGGTGTTGAGGAGGAGGGTGGCGGTGATTTTTCCTCATTAATAGTTAGATCCATATCGTCATTTAAGCCATTGTTTGTTTTCAGTTCCCGGGATCCATTAAGTGTGGATTTATTCTTGCTTGAAGGATATCTCAGAGGTCCGGGCAGTCAGTCATCCAGGGATACAGTCAACTAGTGGTTCAGTTCCCTTAGTTATTCTTGGTTAAATCTCTTTAGGATTCTTGTTATCCAGTCACCCAGGGATACAGTCGTCGGTGTAGAGTCACAGTCATACTTGTTTATAACTGTAGTCAATAACAGTCCAATGATCCTCGGGTCCCAATCAATGTATTCCTCTGTTGATTCACCTTCCATTTATCGGGATTTCCAGTTACTTATGTTGCAGTCATCTATGTTTACAGTCCTCCAGATTTACAGTTAGGTGTAGGTCCAGTCAGCCGTGTTTCAGGTCACCAATAGACCAAATATTTTGGAGTCTTGATGTTGAGGATGTAAAGATTTACCTGTTGAAGAAGATTTTTTTTTTTACTGAGAAACTCAGGTAAACTTAATTATATCGTCCCTCCCCCTGAACCACGAAGCCCGTGATTCAGACTCGTGAACCTAAAGTAGAAGACTGACACATTATTCTGTCCTTAAATGCTTCGGATTCACGAGTCTGACTCGGAATTCGTGGTTCAGGAGGAGCGGCGAATGATAAGGAAACTGGGGCCGCAAAATATGTGTTGAAATTGGCAGAACAAAAAATCCTGCCTCGTGTTAACATTGAGATTACTTCTGGATCGAGTATAAATTACTCTCTCGATACCTGGAGATAATTAACATATTTTGTCATTATAATATCATCATCTTCTCTTAGATTACTCTATTATATAACCCACCAAGAATTTATGTTCTCTCACCTGTTTGTTTACTTGGGGTTCTCCTCCTCCTCCTCGGTGAAGAGATAAGTGCTCCAATAGGCCATGTTGAAGAAGGCGAAGACGAGGGGGAAGGTGATGCGGGAGATAACGTCAATGCGCTTACTTCGTGTAGGGAACTTAGAGAGCCACGTCCTGCAGCAGTTCTTCCTCGGGGCCTGTAGGTGGATCTCACAAGGGCGGCCTTTCTCTGCTCCCATACCTCCGTTATGACGTGACACCAACGGCTTCTGCAGGAGTCAACACCAGAAAGAAGTGTACAATGATATGTTGAGTTGTTGGTGTGGGAGAGTGATTTATAAACACCAATGCAGGTATTAAGGGGATGTACTGTAGTAATTAGACCAACAGGTATGAGTTAGAACAGCACAACAGGTAAACAAACGGGCAGGTGACACATAGGTGAGACCAATGGAGAATTAACTCTTATAATACAAATTTCCTTTATCTTCTGGGGCCAAAATATAAAGCCATGAGTGATTAGGGGATTAGGTTAGGTTAGGTTACGTTACGTTACGTTAGGATTGGTTAGGTTAGGTTAGGTTACGTTACGTTATGTTACGTTAGGATTGGTTAGGTTAGGTTAGGTTAGGTTAGGTTACGTTACGTTACGTTAGGATTGGTTAGGTTAGGTTAGGTTAGGTTACGTTACGTTACGTTATGTTACGTTAGGATTGGTTAGGTTTTGTTAGGACAGGCTATATTTGGTTAGGTTAGGATAGATTAGGGCAGGTTAAGATAGGTTAGCTGGGTTAGTACTACTGGCTGGAGTTATTTCGCTTCACAACTGCTGGTGCATAGTGTAATATCGTGCTATTCTCCCAGTGTCATATATATATATATATATATATATATATATATATATATATATATATATATATATATATATATATATATATATATATATATATATATATATATATATATATATGTGTGTGTGTGTGTGTGTGCAAGTGGAGATCAAAAAGTTTGGTGAATGTTAGGAAAATACCATTTTATTGATCATTAGTCACGTACTTCATTTATCCCCTTCTAAGTACTCCACTCACACACACACATTTTCTCCACCTTTCTTGCCGCTGTTGGAAACATTGCTGGACGCCCTCCTTGTTGATCTCCTTTAGAAGGGTTGTCACCTTGGATTGCATATCCCCGATCATGTCATAGCGATTCCCTGTCATCATGCGTTTCAGTTTGAGGAACAGCCAGAAGTCACAAGGTGCCAAATCAGACGAATAAGGTGGATGTGAGACGAAAGGAATGTTTTTCTCTGCCAAAAATTGCTGGTTAAAGAGCGTCGTGTGACTAGGGACATTATCATGGTGGAGGAGCCACCAGCTGTTACACTTCTCATGTCTTTTCCGTCTGACTGCCTCACACATACCTTTCAAAACATCTAGGTAAAAAGCCACATTAACAGTAGCACCTCTAGGGAGAAAGTCTGTGTGCACCTTTCCTTCCACAAACAAAAAAGAAAAAAAAATCAGTATGACCTCCACTCGTGATCTCGACTGACATGCTTTTTTGATCTCGGTGATGATGGTGTCTTCCACCAGGAGTTCTGCGCTTTGGTTTCTGGGTCATAGTCGTAAATCTAAGACTCATCACTCATTGTCATCTGCGATAAGAATGTTGGATCCAAAATGCATTGATCAAGCAAGATGGAGGAAATGAAGATGTTCCTTTCTTTTTGGTCATCTGTGAGGATGTGTGGAGCAAATTTCTCTCTGACATGTCTCTGTTCAAGTCACCTGTAAGTATGGCCTGAACACAACCAAAGAAAAGTCTGATCTTTTCCACATTATCACAAATGGTTAGACGTTGGTCTGCTAGGATGAGATTGCTGACTTGAATGATGTCCTCTGTTCGTGCTGTTGATGGGTGACCACTTCTTTTCTCATCATCCAGTGACTGATTTCCTCCCCAAAAGTGTTTCAACCACTTGAAAACAGTCTTCTTGCTCACAGCTTTGTCTGCTTAAACCTATACAAGCGTGTTGTGTGTTTTTGTTGCCGTTTTGCCAAGCTTAAAGCAAAATTTCATGTTTGAATGTTGCTCAAAATTTCATATTTCTACAAATGCATCAGTTGCCTCTGACCCTGGCCCATACTGTAATGGTGTGTTGTGGCTGGTGGCAACTTGGAGGGTGGTTGATGTAATCCCCTCCACAGACCTAACCACTATTCACTCATTCCTTGGTAGAGGTACCATTCACCGAACTTTTTGATCACCCCTTGAGTTTCACATGCCCCCATCTCCTAGCTATCAGGTATCTACAGTCACTTCCAGGTGTGTTGTTACCTCCAACATACCTCCCTTGCTCATGCGACTAGAAACAGTCCTATCAAACAGTTCCCTAGTTACTCAAATAGTGCGACATTGCCACATGAGCAAAGGAGGCATGGTAGGAGGTAACAACATGCCTGGAGGCGACTGTACAAGAGCGTGGTAGGCTGGGCAGGCGGCTTACCTCACACCACACACTCAACATATACTAACAGGTGAATCTATTGGCTGGCGTGTTACAACTAGTGATGAGGCTACTCTTCACCTTCAGGAGGCCAGGCACAAGCAAACAACATCTACTCCTCTCGCTTACCAATAAAAATATGTTAACTAAGAGAGATAAAGAAAGTGTGCTAATAGAGACTAAGAGATGTTTATCATTGTTGTACAAGAGCTGCACCACAGTACAGTACAGTGCAGTACAATGCAGTACAGTACAGTGTAGTACAGTACAGTACAGTACACTGCAGTACAGTACAGTGTAGTATAGTACAGTACAGTGCAGTACAGAACAGTTCAGTACAGTACAGTACAGTACAGTACAGTACAGTGCAGTACAGTACAGTACAGTACAGAACAGTACAGTACAGTGTAGTACAGAACAGTACAGTACAGTGCAGTACAGTACAGTACAGTGCAGTACAGAACAGTTCAGTACAGTACAGTGGGAAGTCATCCCGCTCCTCGTCCACACTTACTTACCGTCTTAGCGATAAGTAGATCCATGAAGCGACGAGGCCGAGGCGGTGAGGCCGGCTGGATAGGGCAAGATTTGAAATACCCTTTAGAATAAACTCTACATGGAACACCGCTAACCCTGCTACCCACTCTCTCCTCTCTCTCTTTCTCTCTTTTATTGCTCTCTAAATCTACGGGCGTGGTCAAAGGGTTTCTAATACAGGAGTTATCAGAGGGCGTGCGGGGGAGGGGGGTGGGGAGGGGCGGTACACTTTGTAAAGGTAAACTTGCATCTCGTTACTATCTCTTGAAGCAGTTATCAGTACATTCTCAAGATGTGAGCGTGAAAAAAACACAAACAAACAAACAAACAAACAAACAGGCAGACACAAACAGTGAAATAAACCACAACTAGAGACTCAATGGTGCCGGAACGTACATAATAAAACTGTGTCATCCGCTGTTGCCTTCACTAACACCTACAACTGTATTCTATTTCATTTATCACCTTGATGTTGGAGTGAGGGGTAGAAGGGGACGTGGAGGGAGGCAGTGAGGGAGAGAAGGGGACGTGGAGGGAGTGAGGGAGAGAAGGGGACGTGGAGGGAGGCAGTGAGGGAGAGAAGGGGACGTGGAGGCAGTGAGGGGTAGAAGGGGACGTGGAGGGAGGCAGTGAGGGGTAGAAGGGGACGTGGAGGGAGGCAGTGAGGGAGAAGGGGACGTGGAGGGAGGCAGTGAGGGAGAGAAGGGACGTGGAGGCGTGGAGGAGGCAGTGAGGGAGGAAGGGGACGTGGAGGGAGGCAGTGAGGGAGAGGACGTGGAGGGAGGCAGTGAGGGAGAGAAGGTGAGGGGACGTGGAGGGAGGCAGTGAGGAGAGAAGAGGGACGTGGAGGAGGCAGTGAGGGAGAGAAGGGGACGTGGAGGAGAGGGAGAAAGGGGACGTGGAGGGAGTGAGGGAGAGGAGGGGACGTGGAGGGAGGCAGTGAGGGAGAGAAGGGGACGGAGGGAGTGAGGGAGAGAAGGGGACGTGGAGGGAGGCAGTGAGGGAGAGAAGGGGACGTGGAGGGAGTGAGGGAGAGAAGGGGACGTGGAGGGAGTGAGGGAGAGAAGGGGACGTGGAAGGAGTGAGGGAGAGAAGGGGACGTGGAGGGAGTGAGGGAGAGAAGGGGACGTGGAGGGAAGGAGGAAAGACATTAACGCTCTATCTACAAGTTCAAAAACAAGTGAACATCAAGACCCGCCTAATGAGTCTCCCTACAGCAGGTGTTCCGGTACCGTTCAGTCCCACTCTTGGCGCAGCTCCTCCTACTCACCATGGCGAAGGTGTGGCCGTCCTCTACCTGCTCCTGCATGGCAGCTTCAATAGCAGCAGCGTGTTCCGCCTCCCACTGCTTCTTTTGTTCCTTCAGTTTCTCCTTCAGTTTCTCGCGGTGTTTATCGGACCGCGAGGCGTAATTGACGAGCGCGAACTCCAACAGCGCCCCGAAGACGAAGGTGAGACACACACCGGTCCACACGTCGATGGCCTGCAGGGAGGGGGAAGGCGAGACAAGGGTCAAGTCCTGGTGACCAGCCACAACACCACCGCCACCATCACCTACCTCTCCGGGCTCTCTCAACAGCGCACTGGAGTAAAATATTTATGGTCACAGAAACATTACTATTGATGGATGGCTCCTCGAGTCAATCATTAAATAAAACATGTAATATATCCACCACTGAAAGCCTTAACATCAATATTACAAAGCTAGAGAGAGAGAGAGAGAGGAAGGGAGAGAAACAGAGACTAAAAGAGAGAGAGATAGAGAAACAAACAGAACGCAGAAAGAGAGAGAGAGAGAGAAACAGACAGAACACCGAGAGAGAGAAACTGAGAGTAAGAGAGACTTACATGAACTCCAACAAGAGAAAGCTTAAGAAAAACAAAAAACCCTTTATTATGAGGGAGTTAAAGAGCAGAGTCGTACAGCGTGGGGGTAGTGATGGTGGTGATGAGTCGCGGGGGGGGAGGGGAGAGAAGGAGGGGGAATTTTTGATGGAGGAGCAAGCATGCATACAGCTGCCAGGGGAGGTGGGGACGCGGCGGGGGGGGAGGGAGCAGGGCGGCGGGCGAGGATATAACCATAGCACAGGTGAGAGTGTATCCAGAAGCGATGCTGAGGGTGAGTAGCCGAGAAACAGAGAGAAAAATAGTAGATGTAGAATGAATTAAAGAGAAAAGGAGACAGAGAATGAGAGAACCGAGACAAAGAGGTAGAGAAAGAGAGAAAGAGAAAAGAAACAGGAGACAAAGAAAGAGAGAAAGAGACAAAGAAAGAGAGAGAGTCGCCCATCGATAACAAAACACGTCCAACACAAAACTGTCATAGGAAGCAGTGAGGGAGGAGGCTGGGGGTGAGGGAGGTAGGGAAGGGGGGGGAGTGAGAAGGGGTGAGGGAGGTAGGAAGGGGGGGTGAGGGAGGTAGGAAGGGGGGTGATGGAGGTAGAGAAGGGGGGTGGAGAGAAGAGGGAGAGGGGAGGAGGTGTTTATAGTTTTATTTTATTTTATAACATTTTCATTTTTTCCCTCATAAAGGTCTACTTAGCGATGCCTCGGGGAACACAGAAGAAAGAACACGATTTATTTTTTCCCTCACTGTTGGGTCTGAGTAAAGGTAATTGTCGCTGCTGGAGGAATAGGGGAGGGGAGAGAGAGGGAGAGAGGGGGGAAGGAATAAAAGAGAGAGGAGGGGAGGGAGGGAGAGAACGTGTTAGGACTGACAGGTAAAGGACAGTTACTGTAGATGAAGGGCTGACAGGTGAGGTTATGAGGCCAGGTAGATGTTAGAGGTTGCTGTAAGGTTATGAGTCACCTGTCTTTTCCGGTCACCTGTCTATACCAGTCATCTCTCTATAACAGTCATCTGCCCCTATACGGAACCCACTGCTATATCCTACCAAGAAAGAGCAACACTTCAGTGCATCTACATCTCTACGTCAGTCTTGCATAACATCTATTTTCCTTTATAACCTCAATATATCTTCTTTTTTTTCATTGACTTTGATCATCGTCCAGTTCTCTCTCTCTCTCTCTCTCTCTCTCTCTCTCTCTCTCTCTCTCTCTCTCTCTCTCTTTTCACCCTGTCAGTCTTTTTCCTCCCTCTCTTTCCCTCAACCTCACTCTTCTCCCTCTTTCTCTCTCTCCTTCGTCTTTTACACCACACAATAGCTGTCATTCCATCTTTCTCTCAACCATTCACTTTAAGGCAGCCGAGGCAGAGGGAGAAATTCACATTCTTTATATTCATTCATTCCTGTTCACTCTATTTCATACCATCTGTGTACTGTGAGAGAGGAAGTATATGAAGGAGTGAGGGAAGAGGGTGGGACGGGGGGGTGAGGGGGTATGGGGGGAGAGTGAAGGAAAGGAGGGAAGGGAAGGGTGAGTGAGGGAAGGGGTGAAGCCTCGGTCATAAGCCAAACACCATGTGAAGGCCACGAAGCTGCAGCAGGTAGTGAGGTGTAGAGAACATCTGTGGCAGGTGTGGTCATACATGCTGATACCGGTGTACATAGCTGCTTCGATGGTTGGCCCAGGTCCTGACACCACCCACGGCGCTGACGTCATGTTGGCACCAAGTGTACACCCCACCCCCAAACACACACATACATACACACAATCACACACAGCACACACACACACACAGGAGTACACTACAGTGCCGCCCGGGGGAGGGACTTCTGGGAACACTGAATGACTCTGTTAGGAGGTGTTGGAGGGAGAGAAGAGGGGGAGGGCAGGTGGCCGTGGCAGCGCCTGGTGGGGGTTGTGGGCGTAGTTGGGCGTACATGCAAACAACGCCGCGTGGGTGTTGGCGTGCGGGGGTGCTCAGACCCTCTCAGGACCTGTCTCCACATGATGCAGGGCACACACAGATTGACCTTGGTGTAGGACACGGGCGGCAGAGTACTGTTTATACTGGAGGTCTGCGTGGACATCGTCAGGAGCGTGGTTACCCCCAGGGACACCCGCGCGGGGACAGCGTTCTGGTCGAGCCAGAAGGACACCCATGACACGATCACCAACATACAGCAGGGGATGTAGTACTGGATGAGGTAGTACGAGAACTCTCTCTTGAAGACCAGGTCTACGCGAAGGCAACTGTATTCACCTGTCCAATAGTTAACAAGGGAGGTTACTAAATGGGCCGCTAAGGAATGTTTGAGGAAGGTACTTTGGTGTAGGACACAGGAGGCAGCGACTGTTTGTTGGGGAAAGGTTTTTGTGGACATAGAGAGAAGCGGGTTTACCCCCCGGGACACCCGCGCGAGGACAGCGTTCTGGTCAAGCCAGAAGGACACCCAAGACACGGTTATCAACATACAGCAAGGGATGTAGTATTGGAGGAGGACGAGCGAGAACTCTCTCTTGAAGACCACGTCGACGCGAAGACAACAGTATTCACCTGTCCAATAGTTAATAAGGAAGGTTACTAAATGGGCCGCTATAGGATGGTACCTTAGTGTAGGACACAGGAGGCAGCGACTGGTTGATGGAAGAAGTCTGCGTGGACATGGTGAGAAGCGTGGTGACTCCCAGAGCCACCCTGGCCGGCACAGCGTTCTGGTCGAGCCAGAAGGACACCCAAGACACGATCACCAACATGCAGCAGGGTATGTAGTACTGGATGAGGTAGTACGAGAACTCTCTCTTGAAGATCAGCGCCACCAGCAGGCACGAGTATTCACCTGAACATGAGAATTATTACTGTATGTGCCCGGGGGGAAGGCGATCTGCCAAAGGACGAGTCCTGTTCTGTTAAGAAAAGAACGGGTACAGCTGTCAAGCAGAGGGCAGTAGGGAAGAGGAACACGGTGTAAAGTGGTGGAGGGGAGGTGTGTAAAGCGGAACCTGTTGGGGAAGGAATAGAGCTATCAGGCTGGGAGAGGGAGACGTGACAACTGGATGTGTGCAGGGGACGACGACGGTCTGAGTTGTTGTCAAGTTTAGGGTGAGAGGAGGAACGCGGGAACTAACACGTTGAGTGCTGGAACCTTCACTTTAGTGTGTGTGTGTGTGTGTGTGAAATCGACAAAGCTGTCAATTACACAGACACCAGGCGAGGTGATGTGATGTGTAGCGTCAACATAACAAAATGATTGTAGCTGCCAACATAGCGGTAGTGAGAAGAGGAGGAGGAGGAGAGCTGTCACACGCTGAGAGACAAGCTGAGAGAGAAAAGCTGAGAGAGACATCTAACAGCTCTCTAAACAGCTGAGACAGCGTGGCTACAGCGAGCTAAACAGCACTACCATCTACACAAGTCCTTCCGTGAGGGAGAGTTTGTTGTCGATCAAGTTAATGGGTCGTGTTTACCTGTGTTAGTTACCTGGCTGAGAACAAATTAGCATCGACTCTGTGTTGTGAGTTAGACTGTTGTTATTATTATCAGTTCTGAGTATTATCTACATGATCCTTGACGTCATCATTGTCACTTTTACTATTTGTTTTGGTTCAGTGTGAGAAGAATGTTACCACGTGTTGCATTGGTGTCAGTCTGTAGTACTGTATAATAGTGCGACGGACAGAGAGACAGATGACATGACTTATGGAAAAGGTGTTATAACTGAGCCTCTAAGGGTGAACGAACCTAAGGAAGGAAGAGGACGAAGGGTAATATAGTGTTACCTTTAGAGACAGTCATGAATAATTATAATATATATATATAAACAAGAACGGCTACATATAAATCATTGGTTTAGGAAGAAAAGGGTTTAAACATCAATCACAAATCATAAGTTCATCTGAAAGAAAAGTTTGAGAATGAGTAATAACTTATAGATAAACAACTAGAGTTTTAAGGAGTAACTACTGATTGACTTGAGTTGTATTAACTTTTCCGCATCAGTTTGTGTATGATAAAGTTAATTTGTGAAGTACAACCAAAGCCAAACCTGACCTGACCTGACCTGACCTGACCTGACCTGACCTTACGTAACCTAACCTGTCATAACTTCTTAGACATAAGACAAAAATCGTCTTCACAGCTGACAGTAATATTGATCATTATTAAACATCAGTAGAAGTCATTAAAACTTATCTAGTTTAATCAGATAAATATTTAGACAGGCATTAACCCCTTGAGTGTGAGGCAAGCCCCTTGAGTGTGAGGCAAGCCCCTTGAGTGTGACATCAACCGCTTCAGCATGATGTTCTAACTTCATGATTACAATGACTTTGGGTTAAATCATCATATTCAAGGGATCAAATCATCCTACTCAAGGGGTTAAATTATCATACTCAAGGGATTAAATCATCTTACCCAAAGCCCTTTCCTACAACATTAACCACTTACTCGGAACAAAGGGGAGGGAAAATGAAGGGGAAACCAAAGGGGGAGGAGAGGGCGAGGGAAAATAAATGAAGGTGCTTACAAACATAACCATTAATATGAATAATTACAAACGGAAGGAGGGGATGAAGGGGTGAGGGGAGGTGGGGTTTGATTAGGGGGGGTGAGGAGAGAGGAGGGGGAGATGAAGGAAGGGGGTGATGGGAGGGGAGATAAGGGGAAATGAAAAAAGGTGAGGGGAAGGAGATAAGGGAACAGATTGAGGGGAGGTAGGGAGGGAGAGTCATTATGCAGGATAAAGAAAGACACAAACATTTATCATCGAAATATAAAGTTAAATTTCTTATGAATAAAACCACAGTCCTTGATGTCCTACTTGGAGAGAGAGAGAGAGAGAGAGAGAGAGAGAGATGAGAACAAATAGAGAATGAGAGAGACAGAGAGAAAGACAACAAAGTAAAACAAATATGCTCTGACCTGTGTTGGTCTTGCTGTTGCAGTAATCAGTAATGAACTTCTCGAGGGTGAAGCGTGGCAGGTGAAGCTTCTTGGTCACCTGGACGGGCTCAACGTCCTTCCACAGAAACACTAAATCCTCCGTCGTCCATCCGTCTGTCGGGGGGGGGGGGTGGTACCGTGGAACCCGAGGGAGGAGAAGGAGAGAGTGGAGGACGGGGAGGGGAAAGAGAGAGTGGAACCCGAGGAAGGGGGAAAGGAGAGAGTGATATTAAATAATGATTCAGTATAATATGAACCCGTCACTATCGCGTCAAGAAAACATAATTCTATATAATATTCATAATTTTTTAGCTTAGAGATTAGATAATGTTAAGAGAGTACTCACAGGAAGCCATGAGGAGCTGACACTGCTGACGATCTAGTGGGAACAGCTTCAAGTCCATCGGGCAAGACAGCGTCAGCGAGATTCTGTCAGGGAGAAAGAGATAAGGGGTGTGAGGCGTTTTATTGATGTCCCCCCTGTGTTGTTCTTCGTTTTCTTTCTATTTTTTTCTATTATTTTTTCTTGCGTTTATCGTGTGTTTATAATAGAAAATGATCATCTACCCATCTACCCTACCATGATAAACCATCTACCCGACCATGATAAACCATCTACCCTACCATGATAAACCATCTACCCTACCATGATAAACCATCTACCCATCTACCCTACCATGATAAACCATCTACCCTACCATGATAAACCATCTACCATGACATGATAAACCATCTACCCTACCATGATAAACCATCTACCCTACCATGATAAACCATCTACCATGACATGATAAACCATCTACCCTACCACGATAAACCATCTACCCTACCATGATAAACCATCTACCCTACCATGATAAACCATCTACCCTACCATGATAAACCATCTACCCTACCATGATAAACCATCTACCCTACCATGATAAACCGTCTACTAATCTACCCTACCATAATACAGCATCTACTCACCTGATACTGTAGAGGACGCCACCGTCGGGGTAGATACGGATGTACAAGTTGGGTAGAATGATCTTGTGAAAGTGACCTTCTTTCTCATTCTTGAAGAACAAGTCAGGCATCCACACCATATCTGTCTCAGTGAGCGTCAGGTACTGTATACGACCTGGGGGAGAACAGGTAGTGGGTGATGTATATGACCTGGGGGAGAACAGGTAGTGGGTGATGTATCCTTCCTTCCCCCTCCCTCTCCATTTCCTTCCCCTTCCCTCTCCATTTCTTTCCCGCTTCCTCTCCATCTTCCTTCCCTTCCTCCCCCTTTCCCTCTCTCTCCCCCTTCTCTCTCTCTCTCTCTCTCTCACCTGTCCTGTAATTAAATATTCATTGAGTGAATATAATTCTTTCAAGCTATTACAAAGTCACAAAGCGATTCTAAACCCTTTGATAATCTATGTTGGCCCATTTAATATTCACGTCTGATGGAGGGGGCGGGGGGGGATGACTCGAGATGACCTTTGGTGAGTGTGTGAGGTTAGGGGGAGGGGAGGGGTGAGGGAAGAGAATAGGCAGTGACTCAAAAGTAACCCTTTGATGAGTGTGTGAGGTGAGATAGGAAGGGGGAAGTGACTCGAGATGACCTTTAATGAGTGTGGGATGTGAGGGATGAGTGTGTGAGGTAAGGTGTGAAGAATGACTGAGGTATGTTAGGAAGGCCCTCACCTTCCATGTTATTGAAGGTAAGACGGTGATCGTTCCACTGTTCTCTGAAGGTGATCTGGATGCTGTACTCCTGTTGATGAAAAAGTAAAAATAAAAGAATAATTAAGCATTTTTCTGAATATTGAATGAACAAAAATATTAATTCCTCATTGTATTATAATATCATATTCTGATACTCAAACTAACCTCCGTGAAAGGTATGATAATTATGCGTTATTCTCTTAATTATGAAAGCAACCGGTAAACTCCGGTAACACGTCGGGAAGACAGACAGACAGACACTCACCATCTTGACGTCAGAGATGGTCTGCACGTTGCGGATCATAATGTTGATGTGAACGATGGCCGGACCTGTGGGGGAAACAAGGTACTCTTATTAGTTGTGTATCTCTCTCTCTCTCAACACCTGTATCACTACAACACAACCATTATATACCGGGAAAGTGTCATTCGTTATATACCGGGAAAGTGTCACTTACCGGTGTCGTTGGCGCCGGCTGGCCGGATACGCTTGTCATAGTTAGCCGGACCAATGATCTCATCGATAATTTCTTTTTCACGAAGACGGAAGTTGGACGACGAGATCTCGCTGTGGGAGAGATAGTGACATCAGTACCTGTATGGGGCTGTCTAGGTGCTGGGGGCTGCCTTAATGCTGGGGACTAAGCTGGGACTGTCTTAATGCTAGGGGCTGGAGGTTACCATGATGCTGGAGGCGACTTTAATGCAAGATTCTAGGTGTTGGGGCTAACTTGATGTTGATGGTTGGGGGCTACCTTAAGACTAGGGGCTAGGAGACTCCCTTATCATTATGGGTAGGGGTCTAGAATAGTGCCATGGCCTAGGGCTGCTTTAATGGTTGGGGCTGCCTTAATGTTGGGGCTGCCTTAATGTTGGGGCTGCCTTAATGCTGGGGCTGCTTTAATGCTGGGGGCTGCCTTAGTGTTAGGGGCTGGACGTTACCTAATTCTAAGGTCTGGAAGAGTTTGGTGGTGGGGGCTGACTTAATGCTAAGGGCTGAGTACCTCTTTAAAAGGGGGTTAGGGTTCCCTTGACACTGAGGTCTGGAGGGGCTGTCTTAATGTTAAAAACTATCATAATTGTAATGACTTTCAGGCTGTATTAAAATGGGGCTAGGGGGCTGCTTTAATAGTAATGGCTACCTAAGAAGAATTCTGGTGGGGCTACCTCAATGCTCTAGGTAACGTTGGGTTAACTCTAAGGGCCAGGTTAACGTAAGAGGTGGAGGGTGGTTAACACACTAGGGGCTGAGGGCTGGGTTAACTCTAGGAGGCCTGAATAATGGATTTAATCTAGAGGGATTGTTAACATTGGATTTTCTCTATGTTGAGTTAACTAATTAAGCTAAATTGTGTTAACTCTATGGGTGTGATATTTGTTAACTGAGCTGTGTTAACTATAGGGAACTGGTCTGTGTTAACTACTAAGGGCCTGAAGATGATGGTGCCATGTTAACTCAATAACCTGGGGAAATATGGTCCTGTTAACTGGTTTAACATATCAGGAGGGGAATTAATGTTGGGTTAATTGCTGATTCCTGAACTAAGTGAGGTTAACAAATGATCTGGTGTCTAAGCGACCTACATGATGGGGACTATGTTAACTGAGGGTGTTTGGGGGGGGGGGTGGAGAGGAATGGGGAGTTAACAGACGGCACTGAGGGTAAGTTAACAGAAAAGGATGAACAACGGTAGAATTCCCTGTTAACAGGACATACAAGGGTTAGCTAGGTTAATTAAAACAGACCTCCTGGGACTAAGCTGCGTTAACTAATGATTATATAATGCTAACTAAAACATGATAGGGGCTAAACCATCTCAAGTGAGGGGTAACTGAGGGAGATGTTGAAGCTAAGCTGAGTTACCGAGCCAGCCTGCTGGATGACAATGTTGTAATGGGTGGCGTGAAGGTCTGCCTGCTAACTGAGGCTCTAACACTAATTAATGTTAACTTATCATCGTACAAGAAGGATGCGTAAATAAACTAATGCTTTGTTACACCAGGTAACGTAAAACACCTTTTTTTATGTGTTAATCAGATTATGCAAATGTTGTATAAATCATCGCTATACCGAGTCGAATAACGATGTATCAAACAATATTTTTCTTGCTGTATTAAACTGGTGCCAAATTAGAAAATTTTCATAGATTTATAACTCATTAATTGTGAAATATTTTACTGATAAATCATTTAAAACATTTAACATTTTACCAATGAAACTGGATTGGATTTAAAATAATTTACCCGGAATTTTCTCAGATAATAGTTTGTAAATATTCTAAAAAAAGGTATTACAAAGTATCATTAATAAATAGTAAACATGCATAATTAAATATATCTTCCTTACGTTGGGTTACAGAGGCGGCCAGTGTTGCTAACCATTATTACACAGTTGATGGGGAAACATGTCGACCCTAATCATAAGATGCACCACTATCACTCTCAACTACTGAGACACAGACCAAACCAAAGCTTCTAAAACTAAATTAAGGTGATACAGTCATGTCACCTAAAGGGTAGAAAACATGATCATATGGTTCTTCGGTATCATGTCTCCCATAAAGGTGAATATTAAGTTCATTATAACACCTTTTTCTTCTTCCTGTCATCAGTCACTCATGGTCGAGGGAACGGTAATTAGAGACAGGTAGAGGTGTGAAATCCACAGCCGAATATTATTTCATTTAAATCAGTATTGTACTTTTTCCGGCTAAGAATTGTTAATCATCGATGAAATAAAAGTAAAATATATGTGTTAACAAAAGAATGTGACACAGAACGAGGCAGGTGAGGTGGTACTGTAGTTAGGATATAACCTGATGAACGTGATAACTGACAATACCAAGACATATCACGTCTCTTACAGAACATATACGTCGTTCAGCTGAGAACAAAAGATAAACTTTACACACAATAACAGCGTCAGTCAGCCTCTGAGTCGAACAACATGAGGAGAAACAACATAACACCGGAGACCACAAACATTACAAATATATATTAGTTATTAAATACAACAATTATATAACTTGTATCCTTAATAACGAGATCATAAAGAAGATTATTAAAGATTTGGTTCAAGTAGTTTACTGGGGGCGAGGTTTTCGATACAGAACCTTCATTATTTTTCCTACAAACCAAAATGATTCGATTGGATTAATTAGTGATATTGTTATTTAAACTTTACATCCTCGGGGCAAAATAAGAGTAAATGATAAAGGGTTTAATTAATGCCTGATAAATACATAAATGGTTAGAGGTCGAAGCTACCAGTTGAGATAGTTAGTTATGAGAAAATTCCATACACAAATTAAGCTAAATCAAGCCATTATGACTAAACTATTATAAACTATTACAAGTCAACAAGTTATAGTTAACTAATCTATCATGTGTTAAGAAACTTCTAATTAATGAACTAAATTATTTCCTCACTTTATTCACACACAAGGTCCAAATCAACAACTGACGACACGCACACACACACACACACACACACACACACACACACACACACACACACACACACACACACACACACACACACACACACACACACACACACACACACACACACACACACACACACACACACACACACACCACACACACACACACACACACACACACACACACACACACACACACACACACACACACACACACACACACACACACATACACACACACCAGCATAGTCTCCATAAATAACTACCATAAACACACTATTTGGCCAGAAACTATGATGTTGTCAGGGTGATGACCAAGTAGGTTATCGCCCCTAGCAACCGAACTGTTTGTCTGAGCCTCCACGGTTGCTAAGGCCAGAAGATTAACTGAGTGTCGTTGTTGTTTGTGATGGAAGACAAAATGATTTTTTTCTTCTCTATTAAGTGGGAATATATCTACTATATTAAATTATATACTTAAGTGAAGTTATAGGTTAACCAACTGCTCAGTGGTGAGAAACTTTCCTCCTTTGATAAGAAAGATGGGTAGAGAGAGGAGGATTATGTTACAGTGTGGAGGTTATATGGGTAGTTGTGAAAGAGAGAGAGAGAGAGAGAGAGAGAGAGAGAGAGAGAGAGAGAGATAAAGAAAGAAAGAGAGAGAGAGAGAGAGAGAGAGAGAGAGAGAGAGAGAGAGAGAGAGTGTGTTTGTGAGGCAGTCAGACAGATTATAACACAATATTCTGGTAAAGGTTATAAGTTAGAATTAAAAATGGTCATCTATACGGTAAAATAATACATAGTTATAAAAGAAAATAAACAACAATAACAACACAAATAATGACTGGTGACAACTGCATTAACTCGCCGTGTGGAATACAACACAAGTTAACAACATTACGAGGAAAAAGTTGTTTTTGCCTGAGTGTTAAAAAACAATGTGCAGTATATGAAGGTTTATGAACCTAGAGATATGTTAACATTACGACCTAACCTAACCTAACCTAATCTGACCTAACAAAGAGAGCACTTAACATCACAACCTAACCTAACAGAGGCCAGTAATATCTCCAAGACGCACAACTCCAAGCAATATCTTGAAAACTGGAACAAATAAATGTCTCAAATAACTGTGAATTATTATTATTATTATTATTATTATTATTATTATTATTATTATTATTATTATTATTATTATTATTATTATTATTATTATTATTATTATTATTATTATTATTATTATTATTATTATTATTATTATTATTATTATTATTATTATTATTATTATTATTATTATTATTATTATTATTATTATTATTATTATTATTATTATTATTATTATTATTATTATTATTATTATTATTATTATTATTATTATTATTATTATTATTATTATTATTATTATTATTATTATTATTATTATTTTTTTTTTTTAAGGAAGAAAAGAGCCTAAGGGTTAGATAGTGAAACGTGGGTTGAGAAGTCCGGAGAGTTTTACACATTATATTATTATATTTATTTTATTATTATTATTATTATTATTATTATTATTGTCTTAAGAACAAACATATACAACTTTAATGATAAAAAATACTTAATAATTAATTCAGAGGACAAACATATACACTTAAAAAATTGTTCTCTTCTGAATAAATTCTGTATATTTGTGTACACTGTTTTAGAAGTGTGTGTGTGTGTGTGTGTGTGTGTGTGTGTGTGTGTGTACATTTTTGAGACACTCTATTCAACGCCTCCACTGTGGGAAAGTTCATCTCTCACACAGGAAAAAGTCATAAATTGACCTGTTTTTCCCTGGTGAAATAATGTGCTTGAGTTGGCTGATGAGGAAAGTCCGTTCATTTTGCTGCCTGGAGGGGATAACTTCTGCAATTTAACTGATTTGTGGGGGAGAAATAAGGAAACTTCCCTACGCTGCGGGGGTAAACATGATAATTCAGCTGGATGGCAGGGAGGAATTTAGGGAATTTATATCCGGCTCGTGGGGATAATTTGGTAATTTTTGGTGACTGGTGGTGGATAACCGCGTTAATTTTTGTCGTGGGAAATTGTTAATTTTTGGTAACGAAAGAGAAAAGTTTGTTCACTCGCTTCGCAGGGAAACATCTGGTAATTTAGCAAGGTGGGCGGGGGAAAAAAGTAGTAACAGGGTAATATGGCCGGGGGATATTCTGTGATATAGTAGAAAAGAAAAACCTTCGACCATAACTAGTGAGGAGAGAAAAAACTTGAACGTCAGACCGGTATTGTAGGCAAATGTTAGGGATAATTTAGGGATAATGAAGAGTTTTACCCAACTTGGTGGGGGAAAACTCAATTTTACAGTTAAATGGCAGTGAGAATTTCGAATGTTTTCCGGAATAGTGGGGAAATTCACATATTTTGACAAACTGGAGGGGAAAATTTATACTAAGATAGCTAATTGTGACAAAATATCTGGATTTTTACCACCCTGAGGGACTTCGGGTTATTGTGTCCAAATGGTGAAGAAAAATGACTATGTGTAACTGTTGGTGAATATTGAGTATTGTAGGTAATTAAGTGACGATAATAAGCTTTCCTGGGATATTTGGATGACAATAGAACGTTGAGAGCGGACGGAGGCAGGGAGTGAGGAGGGGGTGAGGAGGGGGTGAGACTGGGGCAGGGTGACGGAGGTGGGGGAGGCAGGGGGAGTGAGGGAGGAAGAGATTAGGGAGGCAGAGTGAGGGAGGGAAGAGATTGGGGGAGGCAGGGAGTGAGGAGGACGAGAGGCGGTGAGGAGGAGGTGGGCAGGGGTGAGGGACGGGAGGCAGGGGTGAGGAGATTGGGAGGCAGGGGGTGAGGGAGGAGAGATTGGGGGAGGCAGGGAGTGAGGGAGGGGGGAGAGATTGGGGGAGGCAGGGAGTGAGGGAGGAAAACACATACGTAGATTATCGCTGTTTTGTTTTTCACTGTAGAGGTAAAATTATTCTTGACAAAATTTCCGGATTTTCTAAGTTTCCATTCGTTTGATTTCCGTTTTTTTTAGATATTGTTGATTATTGAAATGTATCAGTCTATATTATTATTATTATTATTATTATTATTATTATTATTATTATTATTATTATTATATTGTGGTCATACTTTTACAGGTATGTTAGTTTTTTCTCAATTGATCAGTGAAATATCTTTACCTGGTATATATTTACAAACTAAAACACATGACATAAAAAATCACCAATTATCCTTAAACGAAGACTAAAGAAAAATGACGAAAATAGAGAGAAATTCATTAATAATAGACGAAATATGATAAAACACGGAGAGGCAGAATAAGACGAGATGAAGGAAATAAGAATAAGGGAATGAGATAAAAAAAAATTCGAGCAAATGTGAGAGAGAATAAATTTAGGAGATAATGAAGTCAATTCCAAAATGGTAGATTGAGAATTTCGAATCATGCCAGTCATGCAGAGGAAGTGGTAGTAATGGGTTAGTGCAGAGTGGTTGTGGTGGTGATGGCGGTTGTAGGTGATTAGGAAGTGTGAGGTAATGGTGGTAGGTGATTCGTTAGGGTAGGGTGGTTGTAGTGGTGGTGGTGGTAGGTGATTAGGAAGTGTGAGGTAATGGTGGTAGGTGATTCGTTAGGGTAGGGTGGTTGTAGTGGTGGTGGTGGTAGGTGATTAGGAGGTGTGAGGTAATGGTGGTAGGTGATTCGTTAGGGTAGAATTGGTTGTAGTGGTGGTGGTGGTAGGTGATTAGGAGGTGTGAGGAGTAATGAGTGGTAGGTGATTCGTTAGGGTAGAGATTAGTTGTAGTGGTGGTGGTGGTAGGTGATTAGGAAGGTGTGAGGTAATGGTGGTAGGTGATTCGTTAGAATTTAGAATTGGTTGTAGTGGTGGTGGTGGTAGGTGATTAGGAAGTGCGAGGTAATGGTGGTAGGTGATTCGTTAGGGTAGGGTGGTTGTAGTGGTGGTGGTGGTAGGTGATTAGGAAGTGCGAGGTAATGGTGGTAGGTGATTCGTTAGGGTAGGATGGTTGTAGTGGTGTTGGTGGTAGGTAAGTATATGGTGTGTGGTTGGTAGTGGTGGTTGTAGGTGATTAGAAATTGTAAGGTTGTGGTGGTTAGGGGATATAAAGGTGTGATTATGATAGGTGATTAGGAGGTGTAAGGGAGAGTTATTATGGTAGATAAGGAATGGATAGTAATTGTTGTGTAGAGGGTAGTTAGAGGGAGGTTGTTCACATGGTAGTTAATTGTAATTGTACCTAATATAAGAAAAACAAGAAAAAGAACATCGAGCTAAACATCTCTTCGATATCATCTGAACAAATAACAACCTCTCTCTCTCTCTCTCTCTCTCTCTCTCTCTCTCTCTCTCACACACACACACTAAAGCCAATCTATTATGATCACCCTTGAAAAACATTAAGAAAATATATTATAAAACAGTATAAATTATACCGCAAACGCCGTGATATGTAAATAATGATGTGTAAAAATAAACTAACACAAGTGATACACACACACACACACACACACACACACACACACACACACACACACACACACACACACACACACACAAGGATGCCTGATTAAAATAAGCAAACATTATTTTCTCTCAATATATCAATAGATTTTTCATATGAATTTAAATTTTCAGCGCAAAAAATTCAATGCATGCTGACACTGCAGATTGTGTGTGTGTGTGTGTGTGTGTGTGTGTGTGTGTGTGTGTGTGTGTGTGTGTGTGTGTGTGTGTGTGTGTGTGTGTGTGTGTTAACAGTAACACGCCTACTAATATTTCTCATAACCAACCCATAATTCATATATATATATATATATATATATATATATATATATATATATATATATATATATATATATATATATATATATATATATATATATATATATATATACATCTGTATATACAGTATATGACGAAAGCTGATGTAAAAATTAAAAAAGTTCTTCATGACGTGTGTTGTAGAGGCGACTGTAAGACTTATGATGAGTCTTTAATACAACAGTTGTGATGAAGCTGTCAGTGTTGTGATGAACAAGTCAGTCAACAGGTGGATGATGAGACTCAGTAATGATGAACAAATGATGATCAGGCCAGGCAACAGCTCTAATAACATATATATATATATATATATATATATATATATATATATATATATATATATATATATATATATATATATATATATATATATATATATATATATATATATATATATATATATATTCGGGTTACATATAAATGTATATATATATGAGAGCTAAGAGTCTAAAAGGTTGTTGACTGAGATAGTTTGACTGTTCTACCTGCCAGGACACAAGCAGGAGATCCCTGACATCAGGCTTGAGGTATCTCGGGCTAAGCAGAAGACAGACAGACAGGCAGGCAGGCGGTTTGTAAAAAAAAGTCTTACCTGTCTCGATTTCCTACGGCCAGGCCGCTGTAGAGAGGAAACACTTGTTACTAACACAGAGACAACCCCGGAGTTCCCTTCGGGACCCCCGCTCACCGCCACACCTGGGCGGAGTTCTCTCATCTAAGGTCAAGTAATTAAAGTTCACTTTTTTCTAGTACACTACAGGTAATATGTGTGTGTGTGGGGAGGGGGGGGGTTACAGGTAATGTGTCACTATGGTTCTCGTAGCCTTGCCGTAGCCTGGGTGATAATATTATTTTCTTCAATCGCTGTTCGTTATATTTATGTTGATATAGAGAGTGACCAACTTACTGTACTGTGCAAAATATCAACTTTGTTTTAATCAGTTAGTGTGTACAGTATATGTGCGTGTGTATATATATAAATTCACAAACAAATTTCTACTTTTGTATAACTGTATAACTTCAATGTAATAGATGATCTTTCAGGAATGATAATATATATTTCAATATTATGTAAGAGAATGTCTACATGATAATCACTAAAGGAGCAGGTACTATTACGGCTCATGTTAATCACTAAAGGAGCAGGTACTATTACGGCTCTGTTACGAGAAAACACTAAACTTTTTGTGTTGTTATCTCAGAAATTTATTTAAACACAAAACCGAGCAAAAGTCTTAATTTTTACCCCATTAATATGAAGATTCAAAGTCACTTGTACTCGTAACTCAATACAGTATTTAAGGTTTAGTATTCAACGCCTCCTGCATCATAACCTGTGAGCCGTGTCGAGGTTGTCAACAGTGTGCAACATTTATATGGAACAGTTTGGGATGAATAAGCGATCTATTTCAGGGACTTCGTAGCTCTTGACCAGTCAGAGGCATCAGGGTTAATACATGACCTGAGGGTCTGGCATACGGTCATATGGGCTTAAGTATCAAACATAAACATTAAGATTGGGTTAGGTTAGGTTAGCTTGGGGATACCAAAACTGGGGCCTAATAAGACTGGGACCCATTTGCTCTATCAAAAAGTAGGTTGAGTGGATAGCCAGCTGACTGTAGCTCCTGTCATTTCTTACAGTGCGCAAAGGAAACACCCAGTGTATATATATATATATATATATATATATATATATAATCTTACTCTTGTGGTTCGCTCTTGTAACTCGAGGTACAGTCAGCTGCACTTATACCTGGTACAGTGACTGGTGTGTTTAGTGAGATGTGGCAACTCTGTGAAATGCTTATTTAGCATCCTTAGTCTGGCTACTATTGCGAGGTTCCTTAGGGCCATTCCGGGAGTTTTAATACGATGTAAAAAAAATCTACAGCATTGCCACATCTCGCAAAGTACACCAGACACTGTACCAGGTATAAGTGCAGGCGACTGTACGTGATGTTCAGTAAATGAGTCTGAGGAGCGTATCTGTTACACAACACTTGGTGGCACTTGTGGGTCGAGAGCAACACCTGGGGGACACCTGTTACAAGTCATAACACAGGTAATGGCTTAGCGTTAATTTTGTAAACAGTATTTCATCTTTTGTTTGAATCCAGTATCGCCTCCCATGTGTGTTATAGTTCGTGGGTTAAATCATCATGTTGCATCTCTTTTTCATCTACTTTCGCCTTAGTGTTGAAGTATGAACACTCACTCAAAAAGTATCTCTACGGTGGAGTCCGATGAATAACAGAATGAACACCAACTCATGTTGTCTAGATACGGTTGTCAAAATCCTTCGTCCGTTGCGTTATATTGGTCTCACACAAAATCGTGAAGAAAAATTTTTGGTGCGAATTTACAATTATGTCTAGGTTTTGGGGGGTTGGGAATCCGTGTGTACCTATTGCCGGAGCCGAGACGACGACACAGCGTGAAGTAGCGATCAATATTTCTAAGATTATTTTGCGATCATTTACCTGTAACTCGGCATTACTAAACATATCTAGTTATAGTAGAGTCTCAGTGTGGTTTTGGCCACCATTTTTGAGTCTCAGTGCAGTTTTGTGCAGTTTTGGCCAAGATCCTTCAGTCTCAGAACAGATTTAGCCAAGATCTTTCAGTTTCAGAACAGATTTGGCCAGGATCTTTCAGAATAGATTTAGCCAAGATCCTTCAGTCTTAGAACAGTTTTAGCAGCGACCTTTGTGTGTAAGTACAGTTTTCTACTCTAATCCGGCCACCATCTTTGTGTCGTACACCAAATGGGCCAGTGGTAAGCATTCTCATATCATCAGTTAAGAGGAATGATTTTACTTACAAACCTTGAATAACGAAGGAGTAGCGCCTTGGTGGTCTGACGATATTAGTGTGTAGAGATGTCTTAGTAACCTGCTGTCAGTCTGTTTGTCTGTCTGTGGTGATAATCATGACACAACAGAGGTCATTTCAGGTCAAGTTACACAATGAGGTCACTCCACGTTAAGGCACTGATACCCTCCAGGTCAAGACAGGTCAACTGACGTACGCTCTCATCTGTGTACTGTATTGCACTGTGTATGACACCAAAATATCCCCATGCATAATCAGGTACTTTCTCTCTCTCTCTTTCTGTCTGTCTTTCTGCTTCTGTCTCTTTCTTTATCTATCTTTTATCTCCCCTTTTCCTCTTTTTCACCCTATCTTTCTCCTCTCTTTATCTCCCTCTATCTCTCTACTCTCTGTCTATCTCTTATCTCTCCACCCCCCTCTCTCTCTCTCTTTCTTCGCACCCCTTCTTTCTCTCTATCTCAGTCCTCCACCCTAGGCCAAAGTCTCCAGTTCTCCGACCATAATCCAATTTAGCCCTCAGCCACACCTTAACCCCCCAGCCACCTCCTTAACCCCCAGCCACACCTTAACAGCCACACCTTAACCCCCCAGCCACACATTAACCCCCAGCCACACCTTAACCCCCAGCCACACCTTAACCCCCCACACCTTAACCCCCAGCCACACCTTAACCCCCAGCCACACCTTAACCCCAGCCACACCTTAACCCCCAGCCACACCTTAACCCCCAGCCACACCTTAACCCCCAGCCACACCTTAACCCCCAGCCACATTAACTCCAGTCGTGTCCACTCTACAAGTCTCCGTACAGCTCTCAGTGGAGTCGCGTCCCTTGTTCACCTCACACACTCACACTGTAATAATGCTGTTAATGTAATCTGGCTTAGGGTTTGATCCATGGTTGAGAGAGAGAGAGAGAGAGAGAGAGAGAGAGAGAGAGAGAGAAATTCACATGGTATTGAGAACTGTAAGAGAGAGACAGAGAGAGAGAGGGATAGAGTCAGACATGTTAAATACTAAGAAGTTTCAGCACTTACGGAATTTTAACATATTCTCTTGACTCAATATTAAGCAAACAACATTAATAAGACGAATAATTCTTAAATATATGAAACGTGACGAAGAAACTTTGTAATGTATTAAGGAGAAAATTACCAGAATAGATAAATAAAAACCTACGAAATATTTTTGAGTTAGAAGATAACTTACGAAAATAAACGAGTTAAAAAAATAAATTAATTTGAAAAACGAGATTTGATAATTAATTGTTCTGTTATATACAACACTTGTATCAGGTAAACCGAAGTCAGGTAGATTATATTAATGATATATTCTAATTATTTCTCCTCTAACAATATTCATGGTCACTTTTTACTCACTCTATCCACTAATAACTTAATACATTATATCATATAAACATTATTAAACCATTACATTATTAATATATATATATATATCAACAATTCCTATTTAATTCAATGACCTGTTCCTAATATTTGTAAAGTTTCAATTGGTTTTATTTCCTTTCACTATCACTTATTCATCATTTCATAATTATTGCATCATTTCTCTATTAAATTTCCTTTCAGATTTATTTATGCACTGTATATAAGAATCATTTGGGTAATATATTTAGATACAAGTTATTAAGTAATTTCTAGATATTAGTTGTTATTGCCAGACATTACTATAAAAAGGTGTAATAATATAGGTAATATTTCGAGTAATGTTATGTTCCTAAATGTAATAATAGTTATGTCAAATATACACTACAATTATATTCATTATTGACAATAACAACATAATTAATAAACCTTTTTTTAAATATTAATTAACATGCAATTAATTCTGGAGCTGTAAAATTTATGAATTAATTTTTCATACACTGTTATGCTGCTACATTATCCTCACTATATATTATATAAACTAATATATATGATTATTTTATTGATGGATAAAAATTGATGGATGACAAAATTGATGGATGACAAAAAATGAGTGACAAAATTGATGGATGGCAAAATTGTTGGATGACAATATTGATGGATGACAAAATTGATGAAAGACAAAATTGATGAAAGACAAAATTGATGAAAGACAAAATTGATGGATGAAAATATTGATGGATGATAAAAAAATCTATATGTCCGCGAGGCAAAAATTTACATAATGTTGATAAGAAAATCAATATAGAGTGGGTAGGAGAAGGAGGAAATGAAGATAGGGGAGATAGGTAGGTTCTGGAGAGGGAAGTACCTAGGCTAGGGTAGGGAAGGTAGGGAGGTAAAGAGATTGAGAGGTAGAGAAAAAGTTAGAGCAGAAAGAATTACAACGAGAAAAAAATATTTGCTGATGTTAGTGAAAAACTTTGTTGATAAGGGAGGACATTTTTGTAATATATAAAATTTTAATACTTAGAAAATAAAATCCCGAAGAGATAAGTAATTCTGTGAAAATTCCAATCGATGGGAAAAAAATAATAATAATAAGAAATATGAATATTTCTCAATTCTTTTTCACTTTTGGGGTAGATAAGAATTTTGAAAGATATTACAAGCGTTATATAAGGAAGGTCTGAAATAGGGAGAATATTTTGATACTGAAATATAGGAGAATATATCAGTAATACCCAAAACAAGATATTACTTTGATGCTAATATTTATGATATTTTAATGAGGTAATGTAATGAAACGATATTTTTTTATTTTAAAATTTTCAGCTGAAGGTTATTTTCAGAAACAAATTTAGGGAACTTTTATGTACTATAAAACCCTTAAATATAATGGATAAATATAAGAGATATATTATTTTAGGGACTGACTTAAAAATACCTAAATTATAACTAAGATACTATAATATTTAAGGATCCCCTCTAAAGGATATTTTAGGCCAACCTGTGGAAGGAAAATTTTAAAGACATTTAAGGTAACAGCGATCAGGCAGTTTAGGGATATCATGGGGAATTAAATTTAAAGACCTGTAAATAGGAAAAATAATTTAAGTCTTTATAAGGATATTTTTTAGGTAATCTGGTGAGTGGATAATTTTAAGTACAGGATTAACAAAGAGCATTTTAAGATAGCTGGTGGGAAAACAAAATAAACATTGATGGATATTTTAGGGAAACTTTTAAGGGGAGTTTTATACCAATCCAATGTACATCCCTAAATGATTTAAGGTGATGAGAAGTTAAGTTACCTAAAATAAAATATGACAATATTATATTCTAGGACTTAAAATTACCTTAAAATTATGCCAATATTATCTTCTAAATCTCAAAAATCATATAAATTACTTTTAGTGGACTTTAATAACAGGTAATCCTTTAATAGGGTACCAAAAAATACCTTAATTTATGTTTGACTTATAATACCTAAGATGACCAAAAATAATCTTAAGCTGTTAACCACATAGGATACAATTTTCCTAAAAAAATCCTAGAAATACCTCAAATTAAAGACTAATCCTACCTAATATCCCCAAAAGGATTTTATAAAACTTAAAGGGATTAACTTATTTTAGGGGGTGGTAGAAAGAAGGGATTTAGGGATTTTATTTTACTCTACATTTCTTTTTGTTATTGAGGAGAGTTATTAAGAGGATTTATAAAGGTGTTGGGGGTATGCAGGGGATTACAGGAGAGGGAGGAAAGGGAGGAGGGAGGGAAGGAGGGGAGGAGGGAGGAAGGAGGAGGAAGAGGAGGAGGAAGGAGGGGAGAGAAGGGGGGAGGAGGGAGGGGAAGGAGGGGAGGGGAGGAGGAGGGAAGGAGGAGGAGGAGGAAGGAGGGAGGAGGGAGGGAAGGGGGAGGAGGGAGGGAGAGGAAGGGAGGAAGGAGGGGAGGGAGAGTGGTAGGTAGAAAACTCATGATAGTCACCAGAACATTGCCAGCAGGAAGAAGACCAGAAGTAGTAGACGCCTCACGCCCACCCCTCCTCTGGCCACGCCCCCCACACCCCTGGCCACGCCCACACCCCTGGCCACGCCCACACCTCTGGCCAGGCTCATAGTGTCAGTGTCCATCCTGTGAAGAAGAAAAATAAAGAAGTTATACCACACGGTCCTCTAGTTCATAGAAATAATGGATAAAGAAATAAAACTGCTTTAATAGGTAGATCATGATAGTCACCAGAACATTGCCAGCAGGAAGAAGACCAGAAGTAGTAGACGCCTCACGCCCACCCCTCCTCTGGCCACGCCCCCCACACCCCTGGCCACGCCCACACCCCTGGCCACGCCCACACCTCTGGCCAGGCTCATAGTGTCAGTGTCCATCCTGTGAAGAAGAAAAATAAAGAAGTTATACCACACGGTCCTCTAGTTCATAGAAATAATGGATAAAGAAATAAAACTGCTTTAATAAATGTGTATTTATGTATAGTACGTATGTATGTATATATTGTATGTATGTATGTTATAATTATTATTATTATTACTATTACCATTACAGTATTACTATTATTATTATTATACCCAAATAATATCACCCGCCCCCCTCACCCGCCACCCCTCTCATCCGTCTCCCCTCACCCCTCACCCCACCACCCTCTCATCCGTCTCCCCCCTCCACCCCCCCTCACCCCTCACCCGCCACCCTTCTCATCCGTCTCTCCCTCACCCGCCACCCCTCTCATCCGTCTCCCTCACCCCACCCCTCTCATCCGTCTCCCCTCACCCCCTCACCCCTCTCATCCGTCCCCCCCACCTCCTCACAGGTACTGAAGACATAAGACTCACAACCCCGGGCTCCTTCCCCTCCGGAAATAACTTGTTGACTCTTAATATTGTTTTTATTTTTCTTACAGTGGCAAATAATCTCGTGGGTGTTTTATTAGAGCGTTTTATTGTGTTTTATTTACATTTAATACTGTTTTAGCTTTTATTTTTATTATATTTTTAATTTTTAGGAATGCTTATTTTGTCCATATACATAGATAGATAGATAGACAGATAGGCATGCATATAGATGGATAGATAGATAGATAGATAGATAGATAGGCGCATGGGTAGAGACAGGCATATAGATAGAAAGGCATATAGTGATATAGAAAGATAGGTGCGTTATATGGGGGTTCGTTATACCCCAAATAACAGATTATACAAGTATATATAGAGATGTTCGCTATATGGAGGCTGTACTGTACAAAGAGGGAAGCCATCTGTTATTACTCACACTAAAGGCTTTTGTTTTGTTGTTTTTTGTCTCGAGTTATTGTAAAAAATGTCTAGATGTGATTGTACGAGTGTTTTGTTTTACAGGTGATTGGTAAAAAATGTGTGTTTTTAACATACATAACATACATACATACATACATACATACATACATACACACACCACTAATCCCCACCACCACTACACACATCACCACCACACACATCACCACCACACACATCACCACCAATTACTACCACACATCACCATCAGCACCATCACCACCACACATCACCATCACCACCACACACATCACCACCACACACATCACCACCAATTACTACCACACATCACCATCAGCACCATCACCACCACACATCACCATTACCACCACACAAAGTTTTCCGCAAGTCCAGGGAAAAGTTTTAAAGAAACAAAGTGTTCCCCACCACCTCCTCTTAAATACCTCACCTACGAGGGCTGGCCATGGCGCTAAACTCCCCTACTTAGTCAACTTAGCTTCCCCGTATTAGAAGAGAACTCATAAACATTCCCAAAAATTTATATCCACAAATTAAATTTTAGTTTGAGTTGGGGAAAATAAATTCACTCTCGGAAAATTCCCTAAAATCGTAAATTGGTTTTTGTTTTTTTCCCGTGTGATGTGAGAAGGTGTGAGATATTGTCGTATTTTTTAACTTAGGGGAAATTTATCTTTCTTCCTTCTTCTTTCTCCACCGCTTCTCTCCCTCCCCCCCACCTCACAACACAATACCCCCCCCTCAAGCACCAGACCTTCATCAGTAATACATAGCGTCTCTGTCTCATCCGGGGACACCTGTAATACTGCCCACGCTCACCTGTCGTGTGTGTGTCCCAGGGGGTGATTACCGATACTGTGAGAAGGTGCGTCGAGGTGTGTGTGTGTGTGTGTGTGTGTGTGTGTGTGTGTGTGTGTGTGTGTGTGTGTGTGTGTGTGTGTGTGTGTGTGTGTGTGTGTGTGTGTGTGTGTGTGATGGTGAGCGACTGTTTACAAGACAGTGATGAAGTTACAAGATGGTCTCTGAGCCTAATGAGGAACCACTAATTTAATTTCCCTTCAAATGAGAGAGAGAGAGAGATCATAAGCAGACAAGACAAACAATGTATTTAATTCCCTGCAATCTTCTCTCTCCTCCTTCTTTTTATTCCTCCCTCAAGCCACCTCCCTCTCTCCCTCCTCCCTCCCTCTCTCCTCCCTCCCTCCTCTCTCCCTCCCTCCTCTCCCTCCCTCTCTCCCTCCCTCCCTCCCTCCCTCCCTCCCTCCCTCCTCCCTCCTCTCCCTCCCTCTCTCCTCTCCCTCCCTCCCTCCCTCTCTCCCTCCCTCCCTCCCTCCCTTCCTCCTTCTTTCCCTCCTTTCTTTTGCATTTCTCTTTCCCTGACATCTATCTCCCTTCTCCCTCCCTCGATGCTCTCCCTATATGTTCTTCCTCCCTCCCTCCTTGTCTGCTCTCTCCCTCTTCTTATCCTCTCTCCTTTGCCTACTTCCTGTCTTCAGTCTCTTCCTCTCTCTCTCTCTTTCCCTCACCCCTATCTCTCTCTCTCTCTCTCTCTCTCTCACACACCCTAGCAAATTGATCAATATGTGAACTGCTTTCATCTGTCCCTCCTCCTCCTCTTCCTCTCCCTCTCTTCTTTCTCCCCCCTTTCCACCCTCCCCTCTCCCTCCCTTCCCTCCTCCTCTCTCTACATCCCATAACACTGCTGCTCCTTTCGAACCCTTTGTTTACTATTCTGACGTCACTCTACTGGTGCTTTGTGGTTATGTTGCTAGTTTGCGTTAATGGCTTAGTTAGCGTCCCATGTTAGTTTGTTTTCGTTTCCTGCCTGTGTACTGTACTTTAAATAATAATAATGATAACATATTCGTTACAGGTAAGTCACACACACACACACACACACACACACACACCTCACACACACACACTCACACAAAAATATTTACTCAGTCTTATAATTCCACGTTTTAACATTTCATATTTTTTTAAACCAAGAGAAAAACAAAATATGCGACACATTTTTCATATTCCAACGGAGGTAATCTCATTTTTTCTTTGTTTTCGCGTCATATACATTAAAATTTATTCATGGCTTCTCTGAATCATATTACCATTCCTAGGATGAAAATAGCTGATGCATTATGTTACCTGGGAAAAAAATATAAGATGGCGTATAGTGATGGATCATAGGACCTCACACACACACACACACACACACACACACACACACACACACACACACTTACGAAAATATAAACTAAAATATCTTACAATTTCGTAACTTTAGTCATTTGTAAACTCGAAATATTCCTCTTCTGTTTAAGTAAGTACTCTAATGATATTTTTCTGAGGGATATTTTTATAACCTCGAGATATTCCTCTTATGTAAACTCGTAATACTCCTCTTAGGCTTAAATTTGTAAACTAAAAATATTCCCCTCATGGACGTACAAGTAAACTCGAAATATTCCCTAGAAATATTCCCTCTATTAACACTTCTGTCAAATATTCCCTAGAAATATTCCCTCTATTAACACTTCTGTCAAATATTCCCTAGAAATATTCCCCTCTACACTCACCTATTTGTAAACTGGTTGGTAATACTTCACAACAGTTGTGTGAGGTAATCCAGGGTCATTTTATCACTTGTCAACAGCGTAACAGAAGAGAGTGATGGCTGTTGTATGTCACTCACTAACGAGGCGCTCACCGTTTGATTGCCAATTGATTACTCGATTGGCATATGTTCCAGCGTGGGGGGTGATAGTAGCCCCAGTTATAATAGGCCCTAGTTTTTAGTAGGTATGTCTATTAGTCTCTCTCTCTCTCTCTCTCTCTCTCTCTCTCTCTCCCTTGAATGGTTGGCTGGGGAGAAAATAGGATATTGCATGATTTCCTGACCAGGTGATTGGCCAGTCATAAATCATCAGTGAGAGCTTGTGGTGACTTTTCTTCTGATTGGAAAGTCAGGATTTGAATGAGGCAGGAAATTGTCGTGTCTTCTGATTGGAGAGTTAAAGCTGATTAGTTAAAGGTTTTTGTGAGGTTTTCTCGATATTTTCAGATTGGCCAAGCGTGAGTATTATCCAGACAATGATTCCTCAGCGATTGGAAGTCATGGTGATTACGTATTGGTCGTTCCATTATTGATTAGCCATTCACCAGTTAAGAAGAAAATCTCATATCACCAATTGATCAGTAACAGTTATCCAATAGAGTGTGGAGGAATAATAACAACAACATTAACAACTACCACAAATCAACAACAACAACACCATACTTGAATGAACAACAAATAACAACAGTAAAATAAATAAAAAAAATAAAAAAAGCAGAATAGAAAAAAAAAACCAGTCACGTGCTTGAGGGAGAGACGAGAGGCACAGGAACAGCTCTGAATTCTGGAGGAGACTAAGAAAGATGGTGGTACAGGAGAGTGTTTGAGAATCAGATGAGGAGGAGAAAGCGACAGCGGGGGTGGTTGGGGGGAAGCCAGGGGGGACAGAGGGAGGGAGGGGTTAGCCAGGGGGGTGGGGGAGCCGGTGGGAGGGGGGAGCTAGGGTGGGGGGTTAAGGAACCATTGTACACTCGATTTAGCTCAAATAGAAAAAGCAAAATGCCTCGTTCAAGTGGATTGCAATTTCACTTTTCCAGACAGGATTTTCTGACGGGTCTCTTTTAGATTATTCAAATGAGTGTGAAGGAAACTTGAATTAAATAAAGGAGGAAATAAATGTGAATATAAAGGAAGGAAGAGATTGGTGGATGTGGTCAATAGTGGGTTTGTTATGACAGAAAATATATGTATGCTTGGGGGGGATTATACCAACGAGTGTGGCAAAAGTTTGTATGAAATATGAGAAAAAATGGAAATTCTGCGTTCATAGTTTTAAAAAAAATAGTTTGTACTAAAAATTTATATATTTTTTGAGTGTTGGTGTTGGATTACACAAACTAGTAGAACGAAACCCCCCAAAACGCTGTAAAAAAACAACATTCATCGTAAATTGTAGAAAGTTGAAAAGTTTTGGGTTAAAGATTTTTTTTTAAATCTTTTTGAATGTATTATTTAAATTAGTGTGTCGA